GCGAATATCTTTCGATTTTGGTGAAGACCAAGCTAAAGACTGCTGATTTATATGCCGTATCAATAAAACTGATATATTGAAAAATGCATTAAAATGGTCCATTTGTATATAACGCATGTGAGTATGTTGGTCATTCTGGTGATTTATCAGTACTGTGATGTTTCGGTTCATCTCATACGAGCTTTCCTATGGGTGGTACGAGCTGGTTTCTGCAATTGGTTATGGTTGGTATTGCCGGTACCTGTTGTAACATATGGAGCCGAAGGCTGAGGGTGTTCCTATAGCCCATGCTGCTGGTTAAGTTGTTTTAGGGATACGAGCTTGAGAAGGCCAAAGATGCGAAATCTGCGTGGATTGGACAAGCCTTATTAAGTCCATAACCCTTAAACTACTTACCAGCAACATGGGCCAAAAGGCATACTTTCGTTTGTTGACGCACACACATATCCAACTGCAGCAACCAACCAAAACTACCTTGAAGAAGGCGCGTAAGAGGTGATCCGATACTGATCAATCACCCAATTGACTAACGTATTCGTTTTGCGTTGTGTGTAAACGAATTGCTTTATGTATTTTTTTCAGTTTTCAGTATGAACACCACCGTATATGCCAATCAATTTATCAAAACATTTGAAATATGGCATAGGAGAAATACTTCAGGTTTTTGATTCTGAGCCCATAGCTCTATAGATAAACGCGCCGGCAATAAAGTATTATACCATCTGCGGCGCTTGTGGCCTCAACCATGAATCGTTCAACTTCTTTATATGGCATGTGAAATATATAACTTTCCAGTTTTAAGATTTTTTCTGTATGAACTATTAGTTTAGTTGGTAATGTGCTCGCAATGAGTTACTATTTGCATTCCGTAGCGCAAAAAAGACCTTGAAGCAGGAATTGAGAATGCTAAGCATGAGCTGTGAAATACTCCTAGAACTAATCAAGTTTCGTTGCACTGTCAGTGATATTTGTACTTTCAATAGTAACTTCTGAGAATATGCAAGAACCGCATTTTAGATCAACTTTAGATTTTCTAGAACTTAGTTAAAGGCGCTATCGACCACAGCTCGGATGAGAAAGGGCAGGAATTTGAGACCATAGTGGTACCACCGTAAAAGGTAGCAAACTGTTTCTCAGGTAATAACCTTATGCATTTGGCGCAATCAATTATCATACCTAGTTTGTACTCGCTCGGGTTAGCAAGTGTCCGCCGTTGAAGAACTGCGGCAGGCTGCAAAAAGTCGGCGATGAGAATCTGATTCATGCCCTCCAATAAATGCCGGTGCCACAGCACGGCGACAGCTGCGAAACATCTACGTGAAGACGACGAATATGCTAAGTAGTGGTGGAACATGCACAATCAAATCTTGTACTACGTTAAGGTGTGTTTGACCACAATGCTTCTTAAGTCAGTTTTCATCACCATTCTCACCTCTGATCATAAGTCATGGGCCTTGAATGAAAATATGCAATTATGGGTGCAAGTGGTTGAAATTGGCTGAATGCCCGCATCTCGGCATAGTCTCGAGTTTGATAGAGGAGTACAACCCTACTTCTTCAGATTTAGAAGGCGAAGCTACGATGTTTTTGGCATGTTTTGCGAATGCTTT